CTTGAAAATGAACCCCCCCCCCCCCCCCCCTCCCCCCTGGCTGCCTTCTCAGAGGGCTCGGCGCTGGCCATGCCGCTCAACCGCCCCTTTGACGCCGCCCGCCAGACCAAGGACAGCGGGGGCTGGAGCTGGGTGAGCAACACCCAGGCCCTGCTGATCAACGGGCGAGGCTACTTCCCAGACTGCGCCATCCGGCCCGGCGGCAGCACCGCCCTCCCCAACTGCAGCCTCACCCAGTGGTGGGTGCCGCCTGGCCGCAGCGCGGTGCAGCCCTGGGCCAGCGCAGTCAACCCAGGTGGGAGCCAGGGGATGGGGCCCCAGGGGCCTATGCTTGCTGGAATCCGCCACCATGGGCATTGCAGCATCATCCCCAGCGCCCACTACCATCCACTGACTCTCTCACAAGGGCCCTACCTCCAGCACAAGTGCTGACCATGCATGTGACGGTCGCCCCATGCCTGGGCTGCCTCTCCCATCCGTGTGCAGGCTGCAGCCACACGAACATCACGGTGCGAGCCGGCAAGACGTACCTGCTGCGCTTGATCAACGCCGCGTCGCTGACGTACCAGGCGCGTGGGGTGTGCCGTACAGCAGGCGTGGGGTGTGAGCTCGGGCACGGGTGGGCGAGGTGGCGGTGTGAGTGGGCCAGGGTGTGTGTGTTGCCTCACTAACCGCAGCTCGCAAAGGCGGAGCCCGCCTGGGGGCACCGCTCCTGCAAGCTCAGGGCACATCGCCAGGCAGCTGTCGTGGGCGGGGCGGCCACACACACTGCGCCCCCTCCCTCGCGCCTCTGCGCAGACCCTGTGCTTCAGCGGGCACAATGTGACGGTCGTGGCGGCGGATGCGGTGCCGGTGCAGCTCTTCCAGGCGCCCAACGGCTGCGTGGACCTCAATTCGGGGCAGAGGTGCGGCTGGCCTGGCTGGCTGCGCCGCGGCTGTGCTGCGGGTGTTCAGGGTTGCTTGCACCATCACGACCCTTGGCTGCTTGGCTTTCTCTGTATCGGCTGCCGCCAGGGGTGGTATAGCGCTTCCACAAGTGTCCCTTCCTTTGCAGGTACGACGTGCTTCTGAAAGCAGACCAGCCCCTGGGCAACTACTGGATTTCCAGCCAAGTGCAGTTCAGAAACGGCAGCCCCTCAGGTCGGGCAGCCCTGCAACTGAGGAGGCTGCTGCCAGCAGTGCTGAAGGAATGCTGCAGCACCTGTCCGTGTTCAGGCGGGACCACTGCAGAGCTGCATCGGCGCTGGTTCTGCCGCCCTCTGCTCTGAACTCCTAGCCCTGCCTCTGACGCTTGTACCATCATGTGTACCACTGGTACTGCAGGCTATGCCATACTGCGGTACAAGGGAGCCAAGGAGGCGCTGCCCAGCGTGCCGCTGCCCCAGCCTGGCAGCGTGGCCCCCTGGACCCCGCAGCAGGAGAACAAGCTGGTGGTGATGAGCTCGGCGCTGCTGAATAGGAAGGACAAGTCGGTGGCAGGAGGCGTGTACCGACAGGCCATGACCAAGGCAGGCCGCTGCCCACCACCACCCAGCCCGCTGCTCCAGCCTGCAGCCCCTGCTGCTGCCGCCGCTGGCCGCCCCCCAGCTGCGGCGGTGTGCTGACCAAGCCGCTGCTCAGGCCACAGCCTGCTCAGGCAGCAACCTGCAGCATCTCCACACCCTGCACGGACACCCTGCAGGTCCCGGCCGCCACCCTGTCGCTGACCCTCAACATCACCCAGCCGCTAATGAGGCAGACGGGGCAGCTGCGCTGGGCGATGAACAACGTGGCCAGCCAGCAGCCTACCCCCTGCCAGCCGCTGCTGGACCTGGTGCATGAGGATCCCCAGTGGTTCGAGCGAAATGCGGTACCAGCCAGGCAGTACAACAAGCCCGGTTTCAACAGCACCGCCCTGGGAGTGCAGGCAAGGCCCCCCACTGGCGACTGCTCCCTCCAGCCCTAGGCGGGGCTGGCAACCACCACGCGTGCTGCTCCCTGCAGCGCCTGCTGCAGCTGCTCCCTTGTGGTTGGGACAGTGCCATCACCGATTCTGTGCCTGCCCCTTTGCTCGCGGCGTGCCTTTGTTTATTCTCCATGCTGCCATATCATCGCCTCCGCCATCCTGCTGCTGCTCCTCTGGGCTGTGCAGGAGGCTGAGAGCGGGCGGGTGGACGTCTTCTTATCGACCCCCAAACGCAAGGCTGATCCGCCCCCGATCTATCCCACCGCCGGCACCCACATCCTGCCCCTGAAACGGGTGGGCGCCTGCAGCTGTCGCTGCCTGCTGCGCTGGGGCCCTGCCCGCTGCCTGCGGCTCCTAGCTGTGTGGTCTTTCGAGGGTGCCCATCGCGGCTGGCGTTCCTGTCACTCAGTACGGCGTACATGTTCGCCCGCTGGTTGCAGGGGGAGGTGCTTGAGCTCGTGCTCCAGAACCTTCCCGCCAATGCCAACAACGGCGACTATCGCATGCGGGAGGGAGCCAGTCGTGTTGCGCAAGAGCAACACCCGTTCCACATGCATGGCCATCACTTCTGGGTTCGTGGCGAGGCGCCGCGCAGCGCGACCTTGCGCCGCCCCTTGCGCAAAACAACAACCTGGCAGCCGACTGGCTGCTGCTCGCAGCTGCCCTGGGGTGCTGCGCGTCGACATGGCTGCCACCCCACGCCCTTCCTGCCCGACGCTTGTGGTGCGCAGGTGCTTGGGCAGGGCCTTGGCATCTACAACGCCGCCGCCAACGCCAGCTCTCTCAACACCCGCAACCCGCCGCTTCGGGACACAGCCACCCTGCCCCAGAACGGCTGGGTGGTGCTGCGGCTCCAGGCCGACAACCCGGGGCTCTGGATCCTGCACTGCCACCTTTTCTGGTGTGTGGATGGGTGCATGGCCCTGCTGGCCGGCGCTGGGCTGCCCGCGAGGGTGCACAGGTCCTGGCAAGCAGAGGCCGCGCGTCGGCTGGCAAGCGCGCGCCTGACTCACTGCCTGTACATTCCCCTCGCCTTCCCCCTCCCCTCCTGTCCTTCCAGGCATCAGTACATGGGCCAGCTTTTGGTGATTGCGGAGGATGTGGAGGGCCTGCAGAAGCTGAAGCGCCCAGACGGCCTTCCCCCCTGCCCAGACAAGTGCACATACAATGCTGCACCCTGGGTGAGAGGCCGGTTACCGGTGGCCTGCCATCCACACCTGGCATGGGCATTGCACGCCGTCTACAACAACAACTTCACTTTTGATTTACCTGAGTGCTGCAACTGCCATATGCAAACTGCTGCCCCGCTGCAGACCCAGACAACCGTGGAGAAGGAGTTTGGCAAGAGCGGCTTCCAGCTGCCGGTGGGTGGATAAGCGGCGCTGGGCAGGATGGGCGGGGCGGCGCCATGGGCGCCGTGCCCCAGGATGCGCCAGCCTTGGTTCAAGTCGTTCGAGTTGTCTTGGTTGTTGCAAGCGCCACGTGAACCGTAGGAGAGTAGGCCCCAGACAGATAGTCAAGGAAGAAAATAGAAGCGCGAGTGGTATCAAACAGGGAGACGGAAGCGAGGCAAGAGAGTGTACAGCAATGAGAGAATGGGAAAATAGCAGTGCGTACGTGGGAGGACCAGAGTGGCATGTCGGTGGCAGCACGCTGCCTCACACACGCGGTGCGCCACCCATGGTCGCCTCTGGCAGCCGCTCAATCGAGTACCTGCAGCGGGCCGACGGGCAGAGGCGGGGCAGGCTGGGAAGCTGGGGAGGCACGCCTGGAGTACGGAGAGTGCTCGACGTGTGGGAAGCGGGCCCTGCCGGCCCTGCTGCACCACATGCACACGCAGCCGGCCCTCTGCGCTGCGCCGTACTGGCCTGAAGCCTACGACCTGAAGCACCCCAGCAGCAACGACGAAACACCCGGCGGAACCAAGACAGGCAGGACCCACTTGTGGCTCTGGATGTACATGATGGGGACGCCGGGGATCTTGCGTATGCGGCGGCGCAGGTCCCGGTCGCACGTGGCGACGATGTAGCAGCGGTGCTGCTTCACGCGCTCGCAGATGCAGTCGTCCGCGTATGTACCCTTGTGCGTGCAGGGCAGCCGCTCCACGCGCGGGTCCTGCGGGGCGCAGGGCAACGGGGCGATGAGGTGAAGGGGCCAAGCACAGCGGCGCGGGGGCGACCAGGTGCCAGGCACGAGGCGCTGCGCCTGCTCCCCTGCATCCACCCTCGCCCCCCGCCGCCGCTGTTTCCTCCATGCCGCCCGGCAGACGCCAGGCGCAAACCACAGCCGCCCCACATCTAGGGACCAGCCCTGCCCAGCCGGCTGGTGCCTGTCCCCGGCCGCTGCCTTCCCCAGCTGCCCCTAGCTCGCGAGCCCAGGCATGCCACCCGGTACTGTACTGCCACCATACCTTTGCGATCTTCAGCGCCACCCGGTACTTCTGCCCCAGCTTCTCCAGCTCCGCCATCACGCACTCGGTGATGCAGGGGGTGCACTCGGCATACAGGCAGTCCATCATGCCCTGCGGCGAGAGAGAGGGGCACGCACACACAGAGTGGGAGCAGGTGGAGGCAGAGCTTGAGGTGAGGAGTTGCGCGACAGGCAGCGAGAGAGGGCCAGGCGGTCGGCATGGGCGCTGCTCGCGGCTGGGCAAGCGGCGCGCGGGCCGGCAGGCAGCCGGGGCGCGCGTTGTGCAAGGCAACAAACCAACGCTGCGAGTGGGTGCATTGGCGCGGCAGGTCATGCGATCCCAAGCAGAAGCAGGCCCACACCTTGACCAGGTCTATCTTGTTGCGGATGGAGAAGTTGATGAAGTTGGTGTCGATGAGGACCTGGTAGGGAGGCCCCAGCTGCGTGTTGTAGCGGAAGAACAGCGCCGCGGGCGTCTTGTCGCTGCAGGGGCAAGGACGCGTTCAACGCAAGATGATGGGGCGGAGGAGCGTGGTTTGACCGCTGGTGGGCGGGGAGGATAGGCCAGGGAGCACAGCACGGGAGCGCCATGCCCATGTGCAGGCCAACAGGCGCCGGCGGAGGAGGTGGCGGCTGCGGCGGCACTCACACATGCCGCACTTCCTCCTCCACCTTCTTCTTGGGCTTGGGCCTGCGGCATCAGCAGCACACCGGGGTGGCGGCGTCAGGGCGCCAGCGGCGTGCCCAGCAGACCCCTGCTACAGGCGTGCTGCCAGGCAGCCGCACGATGTGGCCGCGGGCCTGTCCTCCCGGAACAACCAAGAGCGCACGGCAGCAGACTCACGGCTTGAGGTCCTTGGGGTTGATCATCCGCTTCACCTCGGCATACTTTCTCGTCTTCTTGGCTTTACCCATAGTGCTGCGCCGGACGAGCTACTGGCAGGCCTGAGGACCTGGGGAGGGGACGCCAGCAGCTGTTCAGCAGGCTGAGAAGCAAGCGAGCACTAGGGGACTGCACCTGCGCCAGCGGCGGCAGCCAAGAGGCGGCGGCAGCAGGCGGCAGCGTGGCGGAGTGCCTGCCGCTCCACTTGCCCCTCCATGCATGTCGCTGCGTGATGTACATCCAGTCAAGACAGCACACGGCTCGCCCAGCGGCGTGCATGCGCAGTTTGGGCAACTCACGGTGGGCTGCCCTCTCTGTTTCAGTCTGCCGCTGCGGATCTGACTAATTACTGCTCCCCGAAGGCTGCAAGCCGAGTAGCAGGCAAAAACGGAGCAAGAGCTGGTCGCCAGTGCTGCGGCGGGCGATACTCGCTACTTCTGTCACTCCCCGTTATGCCTGTAATTCTATTGTGCGCAAATGATGCAGGCGGAGGCTGGAGGGGCGCCAATGGGGTGCACAGGGCCAAGTGCAGTACATGTGTTGCCCGCTGATGTGGCACCTCCCCCGATTCGTCTGGCTCATCAGGCACGCTCTCTCCCGCGATCCCTCCCTTTCCTTCGCCTTTCAGAGTCTCTAAGGCTTCTATTTCTCCCCTCCCGCACCCCGCAGCTGCCGCAAATTTAAAATTATGAACCAACCTGTCATCCTTTATGCCTTAGAACGGCGCCAAAACGGCGCCAAGAATGTGTTTCTCACTAAGTCAGATGTAGAGGGCATCATCCGGATCAAGCAGGGCGACCAGCAGGCGCCCTCAGGCCGGCGGCGGCGGGGTGCGGGAGGGGGGGCGGCAGTGCAGGGCGGCGCCAAGAACTACAGCAAGAAGGTGCTGCAGTTCTTCCAGGTGCTGAAGGGCGCTGGCGGTCAGGACATCCTGTGCCGCTGCGTCAAGCGCAGCGGAGAGTGGCGGTGGTGCCCCGTGGTGCCGCTCGAGGAGCTGCCCCGAGTGATCAAGGAGCACCACGAGCGGGCGACTGGCTTCAGCGGTGTGGAGAAGCTGTACACACATGTGAGTGATACAAGGGGTGCAATGATGCCGCCAGACCAACTGGAGAGTGCTCTGCATCAGGCAGCAACCGGATGCATCGCAGCAAGCACGGGGGGTGCGGCACGGCCAAGGTGGCGCTGCCCTCCTCTCCATCTATCCCTCCTTCCCTCCCTCACGCCGCGCA